ATATAGAAAAATAATTGAGAAGCTTTTTAAAATTTGTAATACCCGAAGAAATGACTTAAAATGAACTCACAATTATATATATTATAGAAATACAATAATAAAGGTTTCCTATTTTTAATTAAAAGCCTTTTGCTCATATTGGGGGAATCCTCAGCTCACTAGAAGAAGATCTAGACTGTTCCAGATTAAACTATTCCTGACACCTTCATATCATAAACTGGAATCCCAGAACTTCTTACAAATTTGTAGAGCACAGGAAACCAAAAGGGCTTTTCTGATGTGTAACATGCTATATATGCTACACTTGATTAAAATGGCATGTTCTTGTTGCGGTCTACTTAAAGGTCCACCCTAACACAAGCCTCTTATCCTTCCCCAAAGACTTAAAATCTGTTATCCTTTCCCGTGACCTGGATTTTCTGCATTACTCTTGGTGGAGCTCAGCCACATCAGCAGTCCTGACAATGGCAGATGCTACTGGACACTGCAAGCCAGAAGCTGTGCCTCTTTCAGCTGATAACATTTATAAGCAGCATTGCACTATAGCTGCCTAGTGGGAAGGTGGGACTTGACCTCACAAGCTTCCAACTCCAGTGTTTCCTACTGATTGATCTCCAATCACAATGAAAGGGACAGTAACCTCTGGGACTGCGCGTGGTCTAGCAGGCTCCCAAACCCGATGGTTTGACAGCAGGCCTTGTATTTCTGAGGCAATCTGAAGAACAAGTTAGTGCAAGACCACAAGGTAATTCCAGTTGAACAGCACCTTTGGAAGTCACCTGCTCCAACCTGCTGTTCAGAGGGTCAGCAATGCAAGGAGACCAGGGGTGAGGTCTGAGCTTTGCTCAGTTGGATTCCAAAACCTCCTATGATCGAGATGCAAAAGCTCTTTGGGCAGCCTGTTCCACTGACTGTCCTTGCCATGAAAAGTTTCTCATTTCTTCTTATCTGAACGTCTCGTTTCAACTTTGCTACCTTTTATTCACCCACCAGAAACCCTGGTGTAGAGTCTTGCTCTCCCTATAGGCATCTGCTCTTAGGTTCGGGCTGAACAAGCCTAGCTCCTGTAGCCTCCTCGCCTAAAAGAGTGGCTAAT